GGTCCGACCTGGATTCGAACCCAGGACCTTCTTGCTGAGAGGCGAGAGTGCTATCCACTCAGCCACCGTGCCGCCCTTTATTAGGTTAATCATTTTGATAACCCAGGGGCCAATTACATCAAACACTTTCACAAAGAGTCTTGATGGAATGATGTCAGATGGACAAGAGGAGGGTTTCATCTTGGTCACCAGTGCAGAGATATCAGCAAGTGTCACCGACTTGAAAGAGGACCACAGGCTGGAGACCGGCTCAGTAACAGCAAGAGAACCACTCAAAACGGGAATTTTGTCCATAAAAAACCTCAAAAATGCGTTGCTGTCAGCTTCACAAGTGACAGGGGCAGTTGGGACAGCCGGACAAACAAGAGAATTTATCGTGTCAAACAGAACTTTGGGGGTTTTCTTGTTTACAGTTACCAGTTGACGAATAAAGTCAGATCTGGCATTTTCAACCATTTCATTGTATGAGGCCATAAGGTCTCTAAGATGGAGTCTGTGCACCTCCAGGTTGGTTGATTTCCACAAACGTTCAGTCCTGCGACATAGCCTCTTTAGACTTAGAGTATTTTCATTTGTCCAAGGGCAGGCTTTTTCCTGTGTTGACAAACTAATTTTAATAGGGGCCACACAGTTCAAGATACTAGTACAATGATTACTAAACAAATGCACGAAGTTGTCCACATCGAGGCAGTCTGTAAACAACAGAGGATCAAACATGGAGGAAAAATTGTCTGCAGTATTAGCGGATACAATACGCCTCTGAGACCTAACTATAGCTGGCTTAGGCTCAGGGCTAAAGTGCAGATCAAATGAAACAAGATAATGATCACACCGGTGAAATGTCCAGGCCAAGCGTAAAAACAAGATCTAAAATGTGACCTTTTTGGTGCGTGGACACAGAAACATGTTGCTCAAAGTTAAAAGCCTCAGTCAAAGCAAAGGAAGGTTTCTCACCCATCATCTGTACTTCTTAGCAAGTTTTCCCGACGTTTCGTCCTCAACCTGGGGACTTCTCCAGGGAAAGCCGGTGTAAACACGGAAGTGCGTGGACACGATGGGAGCCAGTACTGACCACTGCTCCAGCGCTGAGAAGGCTCCAGGACACCCACTGCGGTCTGTGCGGGCAGCGGCGTCACACAGGAGAGCCGCAGCCGCCCCACTGTGGCACCTGGTGTTCCCAGAGGTTAAGTGTCTTGCCCAAGGACACAACGACAGCAGACAGTGGGAGTCGATGGTGAAAGTCAGGCTCGAACCCACGACCCTCTGGTTCAAAGGTCAATGCTCTACCAACTGAGCTACTGTCGCCCTATTGTGTTATTCCACCAAAACATGTCAAAATATAAAATTACAATATTAAAAACATAATCAAACTATGTCCTGCACACTTTAAAGGTGTTGTTCTGAAGAAAAAGTCAGTTTCTCTTTAAACTGTGAAGAAGCTGCGACTGTTTTAAAGCTAGCGCCGGTCAGACTGGGCCCCACGGCTTCATGATGGGATGTAATGAAGTCACATCCCTGAGGCCCCTGTCCATTGGTCTAAATACTCTCCTCCTGCAAATACATTCTGGTGATGGTTACGCCGAAGGAGAGAAACTGATTTAATTATAATACCTGTGGAAAATAATCATACTACAGGGAACTACAATGATATTAAACATTTGAAGTTGCATTTTAGTTCATCATTGATCAAAGCTCAGACAATATTCTGGTTATTTCTGCATGCGTAAAAGTCAAACATAGCGTTTTAATAATGCATTTTGATATAATTTAGGGATATAACAGATATTGGTATCAGCCGGTACTGTTCATAACATCATGCATCGCTTTAGACTGGTATTTAAATATTTGCAGAGCAGAACCAGTACTTTATTAACGCCATAACAGCCAAAATTATCAGTACTGGTCTTATTCAAAACAGCTTTATCAAAAACTGTTACAATCCATAATTTTCCTTTTTGCTCCTACTGGACTAACCTGGTCGTACCACACCATAGTACAAATTACATTTCGTTCTAAGGTCTGGATTTGCTCCGTTGACTCCGTTAACAGGTGGGAGGGGTTAACTCCTTTTGCAGATTGAAACGATTGGATCTGAGTTTACCGTGACATATGTAATGAGCCCGAGCAGTTAGCATTTAGCATTTAGCCTAGCTTTAGCCGTCTCCTTTGCCGCAAACAGAGCCCATGGGGAGTAGTGCCACAATTTTTTCCAGCGATTACATTTGCTAAACATTCCTCTTGCTCCGGCTTCAATTTCTTGATAGAACCAGACCGGATTACTTTACTAACGCATTCTTCACCATTACCAAACTACGAGCATCCCGTTCGACGCAAACAACTAACTACAACACTCTCCTTCCGCGCTCTCTGATTGGTCGGTCGAAATTCAACCGATTGTATTCGCTAACACAGGGACCAGACCCAGACGTTACATGCAGTAAGATCATGATTGAGCGGCGTGTACGGATGGATAAGACCAGGCTAATACTGGACAAATGCACAAACAAAATTCCACCAAAAATTAAGCATAACATTCATAACACACAAACACGTGCACACACCGTTGCTGCGTGTGCGTAACGTATAAACAACATAACAAACACATATGAATTATTAACCCGGTGTGATTGGCGTGCATTCCTGGGTTCAGCTATGATTCATCGCGCGGTTGATATTCCGCGGCTCGTGTTGGTCCGAGGCAGTTCCAACATTTATCACTTTTATGGAGTCGTGTTGTTTTGGGGGCTTGTGTTATTCTTATGCAAGCTTAAGTCGAGCCGAGGTATACGACTGGAGAAAAACCGAAAACATCTGGTCCAGAGAGTGGGACAGTGTTTACTCTGGCCACTCACCTGCAGAGGAGTGTGAGGCGGCTTTAGGGTCTCAGCTCTAACTCACAAAGATTATTCTCTCTCCGTAAAAAAACATATGACTTCTGCAGCGTACTCGGTTAAAGCTGACAGTGGATACATGTGGACGGGTTCATGCAAAGTTGTTCGGCGGTTAATTTTGTTATGAGTCAGCTGTGATTTGAGACAGAAAAAGGGTATTTTCAGTAGAGGTCGAACGATATGGGTTTGCTGAGTACATGGAGTAATGTACAGAAAGAGAAACATGTCTAGATTAAAGGAAACGTGTGAATAAAACATGTAAAATGTCATTTAATTTCGAGAATTTACATTGAAAACTTGAAAACAGTGGTCGCTCTCGGTCTCTCTGAGTGTGTCTCTCTCTCGGTCTCTCTGAGTGTGTGTGTCTCTCTCTCGGTCTCTCTCTGAGTGTGTCTCTCTCTCGGCCTCTCTCGGTCTCTCTCGGTCTCTCTCGGTCTCTCTCGGTCTCTCTGAGTGTGTCTCTCTCTGTCTCTCTCGGTCTCTCTGAGTGTGTGTGTCTCTCTCTCGGTCTCTCTCTGAGTGTGTCTCTCTCTCTGTCTCTCTCGGTCTCTCTGAGTGTGTGTGTCTCTCTCTCGGTCTCTCTCGGTCTCTCTGTGTGTGTGTGTCTCTCTCTCGGTCTCTCTCGGTCTCTCTGAGTGTGTGTGTCTCTCTCTCGGTCTCTCTCGGTCTCTCTGAGTGTGTCTCTCTCTCGGTCTCTCTGAGTGTGTGTGTCTCTCTCTCGGTCTCTCTGAGTGTGTGTGTCTCTCTCTCTGTCTCTCTCACGGTCTCTCTGAGTGTGTGTGTCTCTCTCTCTGTCTCTCTCACGGTCTCTCTGAGTGTGTGTGTCTCTCTCTCGGTCTCTCTCTGTCTCTTTGAGTGTGTCTCTCTCTCGGTCTCTCTCAGCCTCTCTGAGTGTGTCTCTCTCTCGGTCTCTCTGAGTGTGTGTGTCTCTCTCTCTGTCTCTCTCTTCTCTCTGAGTGTGTGTGTGTCTCTCTCTCGGTCTCTCTGAGTGTGTCTCTCTCTCGGTCTCTCTGAGTGTGTGTGTCTCTCTCTCGGTCTCTCTGAGTGTGTGTGTCTCTCTCTCGGTCTCTCTCGGTCTCTCTGAGTGTGTCTCTCTCTCGGTCTCTCTGAGTGTGTGTGTCTCTCTCTCGGTCTCTCTCGGTCTCTCTGAGTGTGTCTCTCTCTCGGTCTCTCTGAGTGTGTGTGTCTCTCTCTCGGTCTCTCTGAGTGTGTGTATCTCTCGCTCGGTCTCTCTCGGTCTCTCTGAGTGTGTCTCTCTCTCGGTCTCTCTGAGTGTGTGTGTCTCTCTCTCGGTCTCTCTGAGTGTGTCTCTCTCGCGGTCTCTCTGAGTGTGTGTGTCTCTCTCTCGGTCTCTCTGAGTGTATCTATCTCTCGGTCTCTCTCTCGGTCTCTCTGAGTGTGTCTCTCTCTCTCTCTCTCTCCCTGAGTGTGTGTCTCTCTCTCTTTCTGAGTGTGTGTCTCTCTCTCTCTCTCTGAGTGTGTGTGTGTCTCTCTCTCTCTCTGAGTGTGTCTCTCTCTCTCTCTCTGAGTGTGTCTCTCTCTCTCTCTCTCTGAGTGTGTGTCTCTCTCTGAGTGTGTGTCTCTCTCTCTCTCTGAGTGTGTGTGTCTCTCTCTCTCTGAGTGTGTGTCTCTCTCTCTCTCTCTCTCTCTTGCTCTATCTCTCCCTCTCTCTCTCTGAGTGTCTCTCTCTCTCTCTCTCTCTCTCTGAGTGTGTCTCTCTCTCTCTCTCTCTGAGTGTGTGTGTGTCTCTCTCTCTCTGGGTGTGTCTCTCTCTCTCTCTCTCTCTGAGTGTGTGTGTCTCTCTCTCTCTCTCTCTCTGAGTGTGTGTGTGTCTCTCTCTCTCTCTCTCTCTCTGAGTGTGTGTCTCTCTCTCTCTCTCGAACAGTCTTTCTGAAAATGTGAGACAAGATTCTACTCTAACAAAGTTCAAACACAGGTTTAACTGCATATGACTCAGATAAGGTAATTTGCACTTACTGAGATTATGATGTTATTTTGTTTTATCATGTTTCCTTTATTGTTTGGTAAAAAAAACAAAAAAAAACACTGGTTCACTTGTTCTTGTATTAGTACTGTGCCATACTAATAAATAGGTCGAAGGTTTCTCACCTGGCCCCGATGTAGAGTGTGCGGTTGATCTGCAGAACTCTCTGGATGTGCAGAGGCTCCTGTCTCAGCCAGGTCCTGTGGGGACGTCCCAGAAACACAGGGTACCTCCGGACCACTGAAACACACACACACACACACACACACACACACACACACACACACACACACGATTACTACAAGACAAACTATGCAGTCTTTTATCTTTGTCATAGATTGAACAAAAAAAAGGGCAACACAAAAAAAAAGTTTAGACATCAGCCCCCTGAGAATTGATGATCATGGCATCCTATATTTTAGAACGTGAAATTGTTTTAAGTCGGAGATACAACTTTGGCAATTTTTTTAGAAAGTAGGCAAGTACTTTATTTACAACGCACATTTTTACGACGGGGATTGGAACCCAGGAGCTTCTACAGCGTGCTTCTCATGCTATGTATCCTCCAACAACATCAGATACAGCAGCTATAACCCTGAGTATAACATGACAGTGTATCTATACTCAGAAGAACACTAGTTTTGGCTGCATCAGAGAACTACCACGGTCTCCCTCAGTGCGGTGTCCTCTGCTGCTGGATCTTACAGTGTATGCATGGCTTTTGACAGCTGCAGTAGTGCTCAGGCCTAGGATTTTGATATCTCCACAGTCGTGAGTTCAGTGTATACGCTAAATTCCAGACACTAATTTGTAGGCAACATGTGACAGGCTGCATCCTAACCCTGCTCCCTATCCCAAACAAGGAACACGTTTATTGAGAGCAATTTTGAGATATTATATTGGTATGGGTTTTTTGACCGTGTTGAAATTTTTTTTTTTCAATGGCTCATTTTTATCTGTGTTTTATCTCGCCACAAACACAGGTTGCATGAGGCAAGACTGGACTGGCCTTTGGGCGTACCGGAGTACCGCAATAAATTCGCCACTGCAAGAAACAATCCGCGTTTCCTCCCAAAGTGCAACTAAACTCAACAAATTAAAGCTGGGGTACCTACATTTTCTCTTGGATAAACAGTTTGTTGTGAACAAATCAAACCGTTTTAATGACAGGCAGACATTATGCATTTCAGACTTCTTTGGAAGTGTCCCGTTCTCATCCCTGTAACAAACAATAGTATAAATAACTGTTAAAAAAAAAAAAAAGGGCAAAAATCCTCGGATGGTTTTTTGGTCCCAGTCCAGCCCTGGCAGGAGGAATAGAACTCTTCACTGCTGGTTTGACTTGATGTTTTAAATGTCTGTGCGTCTGTTCCAAGAACCCACTGATGGGACTAAAATCCCTGGGGTCCCTGGACCTTAAGTCCCCAGTCTGCCGTTGGGAGTTGCCGCTTCTGTGACAGCCCTCGAGATGGCTGTTTCGGGCGATTCAAATAAAACTGATTGGGAATGACATGGAACAACGGTGGGAACTAGTAGAGCAAAATAAACATTATCAAGCTTATTTTTTACAACGACAAATTCCTAAAAAGAGAAAGTGCAGAGCGTGTGACAGCCCAAACGTTGACGGTAAAACCTTCACTCACTCAAAACACGGCTGCTCGGCTTGTTACGCTGTCATTTTGTAAGTAGTGTCCGCTGTGTGACGCATGTGTGCAGTAGTTTTATAACCTTTGCCTGAGCCACACGTAAGCAATGGCCAAGAAAACAGTTTGATTTTGTCTAAATGAGCTTTATGAGTGCTTCCACAGTACACGCCTCTGCAAAAAGACTAGTCTGCACAAAGGGTCAAATGCCCAGTTGTTTTCACATACAGTAGCAGCTCACGTCGCTGGGATCTGCTGCGGTAGAAATGAGGTTATTGTTTGTGGGGATTCAACGGAAGTTTGAAAACAGGAGCAACTGGAGAAGTTTGGGGATATGTTATATTTAGATACAGCCAAAAGTTCCTGATATTAGCATGAACGAAGCTAAAAACCAGATTGCAAAGCTGGAACAATGTTGTAACGGTTCAGACCAGACATTTGCATAATGATTCCCTTTGTGTGATATTACTGGTTATTTTTCAGCTCATCCAGGGTAAGTCCTGTTCCCCTTAAGTGCTTGACTTGCCGGCAATAAAATAAATTGAAAAACAAAGGTGTCGAGGTCTTTGCTCCTCTCACACATCCGATTTTTTTTTTTTTTTTGGCTTTTATAAATCACGAAATGAGGACAGCTCTCGGTCTGTGCCCTTGACTGAGGCGTGAGTGAATTTGCATCAAACTCTCTATAATCCTTTAATGCTTTTTTTCCACATTTATTCATATTCACAGAAAACTCAACATGTTTTAAGGCTCGGTGCGATAATGGCTGCTCACGCTATCTATTCCTCAACAAGTGTGGCTGTAGAAGGAATGTTTCATCAACGGCAAGAAAGAGCCAGTGAATGTGAGCTGATAGGAGGGTGGTCCTTTTCGTTTTCGGTCTGAAAAAGCTGATTTTAAGATGTGACAGAGGCCAAAAAAACATGCATGTGAAAACTAGAGATAGAACTAAAGTGTTTTGAGAGCCAGGAAGGACCCAAACCCAAACCCTCATGAGATGGCTTATAATCAAATACTTGTCCTGCCTTAAAACTTGAAATAAATACCAAATCTTCAAACAATTGCTCCGTACTTTCTTTACTTTCTTATTTGGTGTGGTGTGGTGTGTGTGTGAGTGAGAGAGAGAGGGGGGGGTGAGAGAGAGGGAGAGGAAGAGGGAGGGAGAGAGACAGAGACAGAGAGAGAGGGGGGGGGGAGGGGGAGAGACAAAGAGGTAGAGAGAGAAGGAGAGAGAGGGAGATAGGGAGAGAGAGAGAGAGGGAGGGAGAGAAGGAGAGAGAGAGAGAAGGAGAGGTAGGGAGAGGGAGAGAGAGAAGGAGAGGGAGGGAGAGAAGGAGAGAGAGAGAGGAGAGGTAGGGAGAGAAGGAGAGAGAGAGAGAGAAGGAGAGGGAGGGAGAGAAGGAGAGAGAGAGAGAAGGAGAGGTAGGGAGAGGGAGAGAGAGAAGGAGAGGGAGGGAGAGAAGGAGAGAGAGAGAGGAGAGGTAGGGAGAGAAGGAGAGAGAGAGAGAAGGAGGGAGGGAGGGAGAGAAGGAGAGAGAGAGAGAAGGAGAGGTAGGGAGAGGGAGAGAGAGAAGGAGAGGGAGGGAGAGAAGGAGAGAGAGAGAGGAGAGGTAGGGAGAGGTAGGGAGAGGTAGGGAGAGGGAGGGAGAGAGAGAAGGAGAGGGAGGGAGAGAGAGAGAGAGAAGGAGAGGGAGGGAGAGAGAGAGAGAGAGAGGAGAGGGAGGGAGAGGGATGGAGAGGGAGGGAGAGGGAGGGAGAGGGAAGGAGAGGGAGGGAGAGGGAGGGAGAGGGAAGGAGAGGGAGGGAGAGAGAGGGAGAGGGAGGGAGAGAGAGAGAGAGAGGAGAGGTAGGGAGAGGGAGGGAGAGGGAGAGAGAGGGAGAGGGAGGGAGAGAGAGAGAGAAGGAGAGGTAGGGAGAGGGAGAGAGAGAGGGAGAGAGAGAGGGAGAGGGAGGGAGAGAGGGAGAGAGAGAAGGAGAGATAGAGAGAGAGAAGGAGAGGTAGGGAGAGGGAGAGAGAGAGGGACAGAGAGAGGGAGGGAGAGAGGGAGAGAGAGAAGGAGAGGTAGGGAGAGGGAGAGAGAGAGGGAGAGAGAGAGGGAGAGGGAGGGAGAGAAGGAAAGGGAGGGAGAGAGAGAGAAGGAGAGGTAGGGAGAGAGAGGGAGAGAGAGGGAGGGAGAGAGAGAGAGAAGGAGAGGTAGGGAGAGGGAGGGAGAGAGAGAGAGAAGGAGAGGTAGGGAGAGAAGGAGAGAGAGAGAGAGAGAGAAGGAGAGGTAGGGAGAGGGAGAGAGAGAGGGAGAGGGAGGGAGAGAGGGGGAGAGAGAGAAGGAGAGGTAGGGAGAGGGAGAGGGAGGGAGAGAGGGAGGGAGAGAAGGAGAGGTAAGGAGAGGGAGGGAGAGAAGGAGAGGGAGGGAGAGGGAGAGGGAGGGAGAGAAGGAAAGGGAGGGAGAGAAGGAGAGGGAGGGAGAGAAGGAAAGGGAGGGAGAGAAGGAGAGGTAAGGAGAGGGAGGGAGAGAAGGAGAGGGAGGGAGAGGGAGAGGGAGGGAGAGAAGGAAAGGGAGGGAAAGAAGGAGAGGGAGGGAGAGAAGGAGAGAGAGAGAGAGAGAAGGAGAGGGAGGGAGAGAAGGAGAGGGAGGGAGAGAAAGAGAGGAAGAGAGCAAAGGAGAGAGAGAGAGAAGGAGAGAGAGGGAGAGAGCAGACCTTCCTGCTTTGGGCTGTAGTGGATAGAACAGCATCGCTGCTGGAGTGGTTAGCACTCTCGCCTCTCAGCAAGAAGGTCCGGGGTTCGAATCCCGGTCGGACCAGGGCCTTTCTGAGTGGAGTTTGCATGTTCTCCCCGTGTCTGCGTAGGTTTCCTCCGGGTGCTCCGGTTTCCCCTACCACTAAAAACATGTACAATAGTTCTGGCATGTGCCTCCTGTTCGGCGACCCCGCTCCCATCTCTGTGTGGAGTGAGAGACAAATGCCCAAAAATAACAATTGTAAACCGCTTTGAGACTCAGATCTGTGAAAGGCGGTATATAAATAAACATTACTTACTTACTAGAAGGAGAGGGAGACACACTGTCTGTGTGTGTGTGTGCGCAGAACCACTGTTTTCAACATGAATTCTTAAACCATAACCACAGTATTGAGTCCATTACACACACGTCGGCCTGTGTGAGTCTACAGTCAGTGTCTGATGGTCGGTGTCGCTGTAGCTGTAGCGGCCGTGACTCTGTGTGGACTGTGCTGTGTTTTCGCAGCGCTGAGACGGACCAGAGGCTCTGAAGTCTTCTGGGAAACTTTCAAGTCGAGTGTTATTGAGCCGCCATCGATCAGGCCGGGTCTCAGCTGGAGATGTGGAGCCCGGCAGTCTGAGAGGGTCCCGGGACGTCAATGCATCAGCGCCTGTCCACGCTTGCACTGTGGTCCCCCATCGAGGGGCCCAGCGGTCAGCCCCAGTGACCCCAGCAGCTCACCTCCTGACCTCTCCACTGCTCGGGGCTATTTCTATGTGCTATATACAGACGTGGCACAAGTACATACCGCTCGAGGCTAAATTAACTAGTTTTCACATTTGCCCTCACTCAGCAAATGTATGTGAAAGAACCTTCTATCCATCCTTTTCCCCTTTATCCATTTTTGGGTCGGGGTGATTGCCCAATTCACAGAGCGCCAGCCCCTCACTGATCCTCCTGCAGGCGGGGGGTCCACAGGAGGATGGCTGCTCTGTCAGTCAGAGCATAGCCTCGATCTTTCAGCGGGGGCTTCAGGCAAAATGGGGGTATGTGTCTTGCCCGAGGACACAAAGACAGCAGACATCAGTGTAAGTAATCTTTATTTGTAGTAGTAGTAGTAAGTAATGTTTATTTATATACCGCCTTTTCACTGCACATCGGAGTCTCAAAGCGGTTTACAATTGTTATTTTTGGGAGCGGGGCCAGTACAGGAGGCGCATGCTAGAACTATTGGACATATTTTTAGTGGTAGGGGAAACCGGAGCACCCGGAGGAAACCTACGCAGACACGGGGAGAACATGCAAACTCCACTCAGAAAGGCCCTGGTCCAACCGGGATTCGAACCCAGGACCTTCTTGCTGAGAGGCGAGAGTGCTATCCACTCAGCCACCGTGCCGCCCAGTGGGAGTTAGTGAAGAATGTCTTGAAGTGGACTCGAACCCACAACCTTCAGGCTCAAAGCAGTTGTCAAAGCAGGAGAAATATGTTTGGTATCACTCGTTTTCACTCACATTGTTGGCCTCTATTTTGCTTTTTGAAACAGAAGAAGAGATGACCGCTCTCAGCCACTCAGCTCTCAGCCCAAAGTGTCCCAAATAGTGACTCACAGGGCTCTTTCTTACCTTTGTTCACAACATTTTACTTTTACAAGACTTTTTCTGTTATCCCAGCTTTCATCTTTATCTGAATCGCACATTTGATAAACAAAACCTTTCCAAAGTGCTGCATGTTAAAAGAATCACTCAAACATGTTTAAATAATCCAAATAAAATATGTTAAAGTGGAAAATATATGAATTGATTAGACAAAGAAATAAATCAATAACATTACAATAACAAAATTATACACAAAAAGCTCTATAACCATTGTCATTTCTGTATGCAGCGCAACACAATACATATTTGATTGAAAAAACAATTATAAAAACACAAAAGCACTGTTAAAACCATAAAAAATAAAAAAGTTGCTTCTAAGCCGAGACGTGAATCTCTCCTCAGAAAGGTGTTTTTAGGCTTTTTTCGAGTTTTTTATGTCACTTTTAGCCATTGCTTATGCTGCATGTTGTCTCCATACTCATCATCACCGGACTCAAGTCGCTCCTTCCCCCTGCTCAAAACATCTCCCCCAACAGTGACGGCCACACAGTCACCCCCTCCCCCTCTGTACGCAACCTCGGCGTTATTATGGACTCCTCCCTCTCTCAATCCTCTGCTGAAATACTGGTTCATGCCTTCATCACCTCCAGACTGGACCACTGCAACAGCCTCCTCTTCGGTCTCCCCTCCACTCGTCTTCAAAAACTACAATACATCCAGAACTCCGGCGCCCGCCTTCTCACCCCCTCGCCCCCCCCCCCCCCCCCTCCCCAGAGACCACATCACCCCCTGTCCTCAAACAACTCCACTGGCTCCCTGTTTTCCATACCGCATCCAATACAAGGTCCTCCTCCTCCTCATCTACAACTCCCTCCATAAAATTATACTTACACACAGCGGCAGACCCCCCCATGTCTGGACATCAAACCTGCCACAGACCACCACTCACTTCTCACCCATGGGGGGGGGGGGGAGAGGTGCTCAGGCTTACCTTCAGACGGGACGAAGTTGAGGGGCCCCGGCTCCTCTGGGAACACCGTGCTGGCGGACCGGAGCAGCCAACACAGCGCTAAGTACAAGCGGACGGGAGGGGCAGCGGTCGCCATGGCAACAGAACCTGGGAATCTGCAGCGAAAACAGAGAGGGATACACTGTGAGCGGGTGCTAAATGAGGCGAGAGAGAAAAAAGCAGCGCGGCGCACGTACAGACGCAGACAGACAGACAGACAGACAGGCTCAATCACCGACTGCTATTCCCCCAAAACAGCCCATGTCGTCCCGGGACACCTCCTCCTCCTCCTCCTCTCCTTGGCCGGCGTGAGGAGGGATAAATAGGGCGCTTGTGGAAGGATTAAGTCATCAAGAGAAAGGCAGAAGTGTCCCGAGAGATGACACAGTGACACAGCAAAACCACATGAAACCTCCCCGCAGCCCAGGCACATCTGAAAGACATGTGAGGAGGAGACGGGGAACCACAGCGAGAAGTTTGAGAAATATTATGTGTGTGCGTCTGAGAGGAACTGGGAACATGAGCTTCTATAGACTTAAAAATGCTGAGAAGAGGTTTTGTGATTTGCAAACAAAAAGCAAAACAATCCACAAATCAGTTTCTCTTGATGAAATATGTTTTTGTCGATTTGTCAGATTAGTCCACTCAATTTTACCACTCAGGTCTGATGATGACGGTGCAGAGAGAAAAGCCCCTCACTGATCCTCCTGCAGGTAAGTAAGTAATCTTTTATTTATATACCGCCTTTTCACTGCAGATCTGAGTCTCGAAGCAGTTTACAATTGTTAATTTTGGGCATTTGTCCCTCACTCCACACAGAGACGGGAGCGGGGCCAGAACAGGAAGCACATGCCAGAACTGTTGGACATATTTTTAGTGGTAGGGGAAACCGGAGTACCCGGAGGAAACCTACGCAGACACGGGGAGAACATGCAAACTCCACTCAGAAAGGCCTTGGTCCGACCGGGATTCGAACCCAGGACCTTCTTGCTGAGAGGCGAGAGTGCTATCCACTCAGCCACCGTGCCGCCCAATCTCAGTATTCAGGTGCTGAGTCCACAGGAGCTGTCCACAGGGCTTCAGGCAAAGTGGGGTTAAGTGTCTTGCCCAAGGACACAACGACAGCAGTCATCAGTGGGAGTCGTGAAGAAGGTCTTACGATGGACTCGAACCCACGACCTTCAGGCTCAAAGGCCAATGCTCTACCAACTGAGCCACTGTTGCCCCTTGATATAAATGTTTAATTCTATATGGTGGTATGGTTTATAGAGGTTAGAACTAAACATTTTCTGAAAGGTGAGGGATATTTGCTCCATTTGTTGCTTTTTAAAGTGGAACTCTCTTGAAGTTGTCTTTTTTTTAAATGAAATGTACAGGATATAGAAAAACGAAACGCATATAATCTGTATAACTAAAACAATAATATCAAGCTCCACTTTCCTCAGCTGTAGTCACCTCCAATCTCCAGCGGCTAATGGCAAGAATAACACCTGCAGATTAATTGCATTTAAATTGAAATGGCTAATTGAGTGCTGCAATTTGGAAATGGCAAAGGCAATTATTACTCACCAAGGCTGCTCTGTTATAGGCACTGTTATAGAGACCTTCAGAAACCGCTTCTGAAATACATGTCATTCTTCAATTCATTTTCTCCTTCACAAAGCCCAAAGCAAGAGTAATTCTTCTTCCATTTCTCAAATCTAATAAATGCTTGTATTCTTACTTGTATTCTTATACTAAGCCAGACCTGAGTTGTGCAACACATTTTGACAGTGAATATAAATAATGAAAAAGATCAGATGACTCTTTTGGAATGAGAAGATAATGCTTCCGCCAACAACATGACCATATACTTTTTCCATTGACAAATCATCAAAATAAAATCAAGAAATATTTCCCAGAATTCAAGTGATGTATTCTTTAATCTCCTTTTATATTTGCAAAGACCTTAGATAATTGCTGTCTTTCTGATTTACTGGATGCAACCACCATTTTGATTGCGATTCATCATGCGGTCCTATTTTTTTATGTAGATTAGTATTATTATATGATTTCTTTCATTTATTCTAAATCTGAGCTTGTTGTGCGACAGCTGCCTGCGGTACACCCAACAGCACAAAGTCAATGACACGTGGATGTGTGAAAGTAGCATGCTCCTTTTCGCACGGCTTCACACTGCGTGCATCTGGAGCTGCGGAAAACCACCAGCAGCTTTGAATAAAGAAATCCAATCTCAGTATTCAAATGTGAGAAGTTGCAATTTCTGCTCGACTGAAAAAACAGCAGCGGCGTGTTTTGTGCGTGCAGTTCCGAGTCCTCACCACATAGTTTTCAAGGCAAAGCACTCGGCTGGCACCTGTTCAACCACACATGGTGCCAATGCAATGCATGCTGGAACCAGTTTGGGCGGGTCTTGGCTCAAAAGTGGCCAAAATGACGTGCGCTGACATGCTGCAATACCACCCCGGGCCTGTGGGGGTGGACCCGGAATAAGAATTAGCCAATGCTAACATATAGCATCTTCTTTCTAGAATGTTCGATAGTTTAACTTTGCTCCGTTTGAGAAACTACAGGAAGAAAACACAGGAAGTAAAGCCCAGTCAGAAGCGCACGGCATTGTGGGGGATGTAGGCAGAGGCTTCTCGACCTATCACAGCCGAGTATGAACCGCAAAACCTTTTGGGAAATGCAAAAACAACAACAACTGCACCATGCCTAGCGTCCATGGATCTATAGCTCGTGTTTCAATGCCGTGTCAATGGTTCTAGCTTAGGTAGAGGCAGTGGACACGGAGACCTGATGCATGCGGCGAGAGATAAACTTTGTCCTCCGTACGGCTATCAGAGAGCGGCCGCACAGAGCCGTCATGGAGGACACAAAACAGAAGATGAACCAGGACTAAACCAGTCCTGTTCCCCCATGCCGGTAAACAAGGGCTGCTAACATGTGTTAGCCGACACGACAAACGTATTTATTTAGGTTTAAAGACCTTATGACGGGTTTGATTTATTTAGAAATACAGTTTTAATACCATTTTATATTAGAAGAGAACTACTAAAGGTTTCAAAATCAGTTGTTGTTTTTTTTGTCTGAACCGCCCAAATCGAAATAACCCCATAGCAACGCCCTTAGAGACGAAAAAACTTCACAGCCCTTGGTGACGTCAGAGCGGGTACGTTTCAACGCTGTAAGTTGTTTACAATTTGGTATTCGTTCTTTTTTCGCGGATATTCAAGATGACAAGGCCGTGTACAGAGAGTCTGACATAAATACTAGATTTTAACTCTTTGTTGTCACTGAGATAGTCCAGTGGTTGTGTCGATGAACTGCCAATCCAGATACTTGGGTTCAACCTCAGACGCTTTTTCACTCTCAAAACGGCAATTTATGTGTAGTGAGCAATTGTCACCTGTAGAGGGCAGTATTGTGTTGGGCATCAGTGGAGAGAAGAGAGAAAAGGCAGTCCTGTGGCATAGATCCATGGTTTTCAATGCATGGGCGTTACCCGCTGTGACGTCACACACAGGTTAGAGAGCATAGACAACTTAAATTCATGAAAAACACGTTCTTTTTATAAAATATAGGATTTTTTTTTTCACTCTTTCAGATTGACATTGTCATGCAATTTTGATATCCACTATTTTTTTTTTTAAAACCCGTCATAAGGTCTTTAAAAACATAAACAAAAAGACAATCAATATATATCGTTATCGACCGATATGAATAACTTATATTGTGATATATAAGTTATTCATATATATATATAAGTTGGGCGGCACGGTGGCTGAGTGGATAGCACTCTCGCCTCTCAGCAAGAAGGTCCTGGGTTCGAATCCCGGTCGGACCAGGGCCTTTCTGAGTGGAGTTTGCATGTTCTCCCCGTGTCTGCGTAGGTTTCCTCCGGGTACTCTGGTTTCCCCTACCACTAAAAATATGTAAAATAGTTCTGGCATGCGCCTCCTGTACTGGTGACCCTGCTCCCAAAAAAATAACAATTGTAAACCGCTTTGAGACTCAGCTCTGCAGTGAAAAGGCGGTATATAAATAATTACTTACTTACTTACTTACTTACTATATAGTTTTCAGCCATATCGCCCAGCCCTAACTTATTGTACAACTTAATAAGGAAAAGAGCAGCGGGTTCAGCTTCACTCTAGTTACACGGCTTGTTACGCTGTCATTATGCAAAGTATTGTGTGTGTGACTTAGTATGACATGTAAGGGGCCTTTTGAAATGAACGTTTAAAAGCCTTTGTTCACAGTGTTCTCACTAAACAAACCTGGGAGATAAAAGTAACAAGGTTTTTAATCCAAATTCTTATGTTTTCTGCGCAGTGGGAATGAGTCTAAAGTATACAGAGCTTTACTCAACGCATGTGTCAGTGCCGGAATTCCCTAATATTAGCCTGGATGTAGACTAAAACAACTCCAGGTCTTATTTCCATGTAAGTACACATAAGTAACATGGAGAAAGCTCATATGTACATGTTGGATTGAGGCGGTTATAAGTGTCTAAATCCCATTATAGGAGCATTTGAATCTTCAATCTTTCTTGAACGTTTGCATCAAAGCCCAAGCATACCACGCTATAATCTTGCATTCATTTTTTACATTTAACCTTTTCCTGCTTGTGCTCATACTGCATGCCTTCAGCCTGGCCCCGGCGGCACGTTCCTCACTACAAGCCACACAGCGCCCACAGCAGCCCGGGGCGAACACTGAGGATTAGTGTCTCCTCGTGGGCTGTATGTCCCAGTAAAACACCGCCCTAATAAAACACTTGTACATGCATGAAGCCTTCTGGACGAACTTGCTCTACACATTTGTCATAATGATTTTACGGCATGCACATTTGGCTCTTGAATGTGCTCTCGGAGTTGTACAGCTCAGGGTGCCTTATTCGACTAATGGAATGCGTTTGACATTTATTTTCTACATTATTAATAGCAGCAACAATGGCGTCTGTGATTACATGTGAAGCTCTTCTGATCTCCTTATCTCACAGGCCATCTCCGCGTCCCGTGACCAGCTTTCGTCCGCGGTCGACCCTCTCCCCTTCACCTCGTGTAATTGTGGATCATGGGTGCGGCGTAATTA